CTGCAGATTTTAATTTACGTTGAGAAATGTTAATTTATTATTCTGTTTTGTGGGCTGAAGTATATTTTAAAATTATTACTAAATTTACGATATCTTAAAGGTGTATACGTTGGAAAATCCGGTTCAAATTGAAGAGGAAGAAAAATCCAACAGATCGGATGAGAACTAGAAAAAAACATAAAAAAAGTAAAAATATTAAAACTTCAAAATTTTGAACAATAATTACTTACCTCCTATATAACATTGTAATTATTTCTATTATACGGGGCGTTATATTTTATTTTTAGCAAAGCGACGAGAAAAAGGAAATTTGTGCAGCCAATTCGCAGAACTTGTGGGATGATACTGTCAATCTTACAGTAATTTCTTATAGATTACTTTAATAATTATATAATAATTTTAAAATTATTTTAGGATTTCGAAGAAGCTATTCAACATGCGGAAAAAAAATTAAGAGAAATAACTAAAACGTGATTGAGTCTAAACATAATGAAAAAGGGAAAGAGAAAGGGAAAGGAAATTTTCACATACAGTAGGAAAAAAATAAAACAGACCAAAGGATAAAAAGTGTCGAAAAAGTAGACAGTTTTTACGATAATAGAAATAGCAATAGATCTTGTAATTAATTATTTTTCAGAAAAAAAAACAAGGCATAAGCTATTAACCGGCTTATCAAGACACGGCTAAATAAATTGAAATGTAATGAACATGCATGTTCTTGTCCCAATTTTATAAACTGGCTACGACATTTATTCGAAGAATAAAAGTTCTCAAATTTTTAATTTTAATTTTAGTTCATAAAAGATTATAATTTTTAGTTATATTGAAATTATGTATTTGATTTTAAAACAATAATAATAATATGATTTAAAAAAAAATTATATTTCATTTCTTTATACCTCTTTTTCACATCGGTTACTCCCTCCTTCCCCTTCCTATTATATAATAGGTCCTATAAATATATAGTTGCTAGGTATCAATGTATAGTTTATTCATAAAAATAAAATTAAAAAGAATTTGCTAGAAAAATTATTTTATTGTTGATGTACATGATCAAATTAGTATGAAAACAGTATAAATGATACAGATAAACTTCTAAGTAACAGTTTGATAATCTTAATACGATAACTAAAAACAGAAATTATCAGTAAAATGTATTTCATGTAAACTTGCGTTTTTTGAAGCCGTAAGGCACGGTAGCAATACCCGAGACGATTTTTCGTTTTTGGGAGTCCATCCTAAATACTTTTTTCCCAATAGCTGTAACAATGTCAAATTTCGGTGTTATGTTAATGTTTTTAACGGGTACATTAATTTCCTTGTTATACGCGACCAATTGGACCATAGATTCAAAATTTACCAATTGAGATGTAGAAAAATTTAATTTCAGCCCTTTTACTTTCGTTACAATTGCTGCCTTTTTGTTTCACAGTCAAAAACTTTAAAAGAATACGACTTCGGACCAGTCGATACAAATTCAGTAATGAAACTATTTTTTCCAAAAATATCAAGTTCATCCGTCATTTCTCCGATTGAATGCCCTGTTTTGATTTTAAATTGTCCTGGTTTGTGCCTATAAATGACACTATCTGTGTCACAGTATAAAACTCTAGTATCTAATTTTTCCAGATATTCGTACAATTTTAACCTAGCTTGGTATGTTGTGTATGCGGCCAACACGACGTTTACGTACGCATTGGGAACCACATCTTCTTCCTCCAAATAATTCCAATTCATAATTAAAGTGTCATCGTTTATAAGAACGACATATTGTTTTTCTATTGCAGGATTGTTTAAGATTTTTAAAAAAGTGTCGTTGTAGTTTATAATTGTTGTTTTTGGCAAATTCTCTCGCTGCCCGAGTTTTCCCCAAAACGAGTTTACCGCTAATTTTGCTATTGACCTTCTAGCAGAGTTTTTCTCAATTTTGCTTATATCAAGGGGAGTCCTTTCTTCTCTTGCACTTCTCAACGTATTCTTCTTTTTCTTTGACGGAATCCACACCGTCAGGGAAACCCGATGGTTTTAATTTAATTTTAAAAAATTGGTTGATATATTGCGAGAACAAACCTCCCTTTTCGGAAACAGGATTATATTGTGTAACCGCATATTTCCAAATTTCATAAATTTCGGCCACTTGGTAGCCCATGTGTACCGCTTTCGTTACCTCGTCAATAACCCACGTTCCGGTAAATGCTCTATCTTCCGTACTATGCAAGCATTGCCTATGGTGTATGTTTCAGCGCATGTTTTACACAATGTGAACATTAGTTTATCATTGATTTTAAGGGGGAGGACTGGGTGAAAAAGGTCGGATGGCGGAATTACTTTACATTTTATCAACCCGTTACACTTTGTGGATTTTAATTCTCCCAAAATATTAAGACAGTTGTTATGCCCTACGTAAATTTTCGGATGAGATATTGGGTACTTCCCATATTTATTGACCCAAGGATACAATGAACATACGTCAATATAGAAAAATTTCCCAACCCCCCAGTTTCCCGAATTTTATAATATAGTACTGCGTTTTCGGTCCTCCCTCCGTAAAAACTGAAGCGTGGGTTTAGTGGGACAGAATTCAGTGTGGGGTGTTTCGAAATGATGTGCCGATTTGATTTAAAATAAGGAGTTTTTTATACAATTGAATTCACACTCCCACATGTCAACAAATGCGTAGCCCTTACTTTTTATGTAATTTCTTTTTTTAACTGTTCTGTGGGAACGAGAATTCATTGTATTTTTTAAGTCTCCCTGTATAGGTTTTTATCGATTATGAGGAAAACATATTGTGCATCCATGAAAAAAGCACCCATTAAATTCGAAAACTGTGTTAGTTTGTTTGCTATAACCATCAACCTTGTATGTCCCGATTTTAAATTCTTTGCCATTCCTTGCGTGCACAATCTCAAAGCGTCTTTTCATTTCTTCAAAAATCAAATATTCTAGGCATGCTCGGGACTTTATGTCCGTTTCTCTATACCCTCCTCGAGGTATCACGCTTATGGAAAATGGTTTTAAAAAATTTCTCCTGAAAACAAGATTGCAAGCTGATGAAATGGTGATAGGCTTGAGAAACGTGTCTACATTACAGAGGTTTATGAACATTTCCCTAAAAGTAACACACGCATTTGCCAATATCGATACATCTTGTTTGCAGTATTTTTCTAACTCTTCCTTCATATTGTATGTCACTTGAACTTGTTTTTCATACCAGTCGAGAAATTTTGCTCTTTTTTCTTCAAACATATTATCAGGCTCAAAAAAATCTTTATCTGGTATTTTACCAACGTAATTGGCATTGGAAAAAGTGTTGAATAAACGCGGAAAAAAACCTTTCTCATATACGCAGAGCGGAAGACCGAGTGCTTTAGGCAATTTGGCAAGCGGCAAAGGCAGGAAATTAACAGAATCTATAAATTTTACGTTATTGAATTCTAAAAGTAAAAGTTTTCGACCCCTCATAATTAGTTTCGGAACAATATCTGTATGTTCAATTATGTGTTTTAAAACGAAATGGCAATTAAATGCTTGCGAGTTGTGAGCAATACAAATTACATTTGTAAATTTATTTTTTACTTGTAGGATGTGAGCGAAAAAACCGTCTAAAATTGTGTCACCACCCAACACTTGCATAATGCTGTGTCCGAATATACATTTTCCGAAACCAATGCACTTGTCACATTTCTCCTGAAACACACATAAATTAGGTTTATGCAAAAAGGTAATCTCGACCTTGAATACGAGTTATCTTGCGAAGTTTCAAAATCATAGAAAATAAATAAAAAACTATCTTTAGGCGGATCACGCTTGGCAACAGGCATAAAACATCGGTGGTTTCGCGGCATTTCCACACGACATATTTTACAAAATTTTTTGTCACAATTATGAATATTTTTGTTTCTATTTTTCCCTCGATATTAATCAATGACGAACATTTATTGCAAAAAAATATTTTTCCGCAAATATTGTTTGTGAAATGTTGATAATAGCAACGACTGTTAGGGAAAATTCTAGAGCAGTAATCACACAATTTTTGAGGCTCTAGAGATGAAATTAAACATTTTGTCTGACTCATGCAAAAGGTACACGAATGAGGGCATATGTGTTGGTATTTGTTGTTTGTGGATACGTTACATTTTTCGCAAAAGTAACCGCATGCAAAACAACTTTTTAAATTGGTTATTACACTGTAATGATTGTTATGATGCAACAAATTTAAAGTAAAATGAGCCGAATTGTTCGTCCCTTCGTATAAAAGTGTTCTACCTTTTGACTGGTATTCATAAACCTTGATATTGTATTTTTTTAGATATCTTTGAAATGCTAGAATTTCTTTTATTCCAGCACCGACATCAGGGATCTTAATAACACCTGCTTTCTTCATTAACTTTTGGGCTTTCATTAGCTGTAATGTGTAGAGATTAGTGACCGTTAATCGATATCTGAATAATTAGCTGTAATCCGTTTTCGCAATCCGTTCGAATTTTATCGTAATCTTTATTTTTTTTTTTTTGCAAAAGCTTTCGCCACAACCAGAGCTCTCGGTACGCACAATTGATCATTATTATTTATATAAACGATACCTTTTCTTTTTTTACATTCTTCCTGAAAGGTCGAATATTAATTTCCCGGTCTTCTCCCTGAACCTTCGGGCGTATTGACTGACAACAGTCGATATTATCTTCAAAGTACTACTAGATGAAATTAAGTCGGCATTACTTTGGCTCAGTTTAAAAATAATGTCCCAAAAATCATTACTCGAAAATTCTGAAACAGGCTTGAAGTTCATCCACCCTTGTTCTGTAACCCCCTCTCCGCAATGTAAAGTCACACCTATAAGATCGGATGAAGAAAGACCCATCTTAATATGTTCAACAATCTCACATAGCGCTTCCTCGATGAACACAATTCCAGAAGTGTCTGGAGGAGGTTCCTTGAATCGAAAAGTAGTCTCGGTTGCTCTGGTTTTAAATCTACGTACATATTTTGATCTCTCGTTGATTATAAGAATTTTTGATTCCGGGCATGAACCTCCAATCACGAGTGTTTCGTTTTCTGAACTCTAAAACATGTCAAAAAAATTCTTTTAAAATTATATTATAAATAATTAAATTTTTTGTTTATATGTTTAATTTTATTTTTTTATGTTATGTTTTATGTTTGAATTATTACCGATTCTTGTTCTGAAGAGAACTCCGTGTCGGAAATATGTTCTAATTGTCTGATGTTTGAATATGTTTTCTTCTCTTCTAAAAAATGTGCTGGATTTGGAAGGTTTAGTACCTTCTACAATTTAAACAATTGATAAATGTAAGAATTCTAACAGTATAAAAATATTAACGAATAAAAAGAAAAACAGACAATAATAGTATTTTAAGATATGTTGCTGTCAAGACCATCAAAACTAGTAGACGAGCTGTCACTAGTTATATTTAAAAATAATTCTGACTGGCATAAGTTATGGGAACCACTGCCCTGTTCTTCGATAGAGGAAACTGACGGGCACGTCGCCGAGTACGAATCACTTTCGCTGTTTACACCGATATTTGTAACAAAACGTTCTGATGTTTCACCATTAAAACTTTCGTCATCCTGAAAATAATTATGATAAAAAGTTTCTCAAAACCTAATATTTTTTACTGCGTAAAACAACAAACTTGTGAATGATTGAAGTTTTGAATTATATTCTTCGTCCAGGAAGATGAAAAATCGTTTAATCCTAAACATATAATTTAATATTTACATCTAGTGTTATTGAATTTACAAATGCCTAATGTAATTACAAACAGAAGCGTTGATATTATGGTAATAGCTCCAATGCATACCCATCGTCTGCGATGAAGGGAATAGGGAAAAGCACAAACCACAACGGAAACCACTAAACTAACATTCAAATATAAATTAGGTAACAATTATGTATAACAATCTTGTTTATACTCATATATGACAAATAAAAAAATAAAAATAATGTACTTACTCGTGGACACGGACAAACAAGATGAAAATCGGTACAATGCTGCTGTAAGAGTACAAACGTAGGAAACTCCGAGCAACAAAATACGCATACATATATTTTTTATATTAGGCACTTTTTTTATTAGCACAAAAAAAAACCACATACAACGCTGAGATATAAAATAACACCTATTGGAAATTGTTACTGTATGATCGCATGAACAATACTAAATGGAGATCGAATAGGACAGGAAAACGCAGATACGAAAGTAAATATTATTGCAGCTTAATTCGTATTGGATTTGTTTTCATGCTTGCTTATCACCTATTCTGATGTTTTGAACTTTAGGATACAAAATAAAATAAAAACATGTTCGTTTTCTATCTACTAAATATGAAAAAGATATACGAAGATCATTTAAACACGGACATGATATTTAAGGAATTTTACAATATTTTCCGAAAATGGTGGGACAAAAACAATCACGGATTTCTTGTGATTAACAAAGATTCCCCGTTGAAAAATGGACGTTACCGCATGGGTTTCGATACCTATACAATTTTTTGAAAGAAATGATATACATCATTCGTTAGATGACGATGAAAGAAAGAACAACTCGTTGTTTGACGCGTGAAATAGACGAGATAAGAGAGAATATTAGGCAAAAATATAACGCTCTTAAACGATTGAAGGAGGAAAATGATTTCTACAATACAGTTAAATATAAATTTATCGTCAATGCAATAAAAGATGCTAACGTCAATCTGCCCTTCTACCAACAAAAAGGAGAAGCAGAAGAAGATCTTCCTCGGAAACCTAAACGATCACTCCTACAGTCCATGGTCAAACCGAGGGAAGATGTAGATAGATAGATAGATGATAGATAACATGCTTTATTTACATTAAAGAGAAGCATTACATAATATACAATATTAAAATCATTTTACAGCATGGATGGTTAACCGTCTGCCGGAAGTTGGCTGTTCTTTTTCAGGCGAGCGAAAATTAAAAATAAACTATATAATAATGGTAATAATAGAAAACTATATGTAAAAACTAAATTATAAAAACTAGCTGATTTTAGATACAAGTTAAACAATTATGACTCGGTATTATAATCGTACCTATATTGCCAGGCATGACATGCATAGTGTGCTAGACCTTTCGACTTATCCATATCCACGATATTTAACAGATCAAGCAGCTGAGACCTGGAAAGCGATTTATAGCCTAGATACAGGATACGGAGTTCAGACAGTATGGGACACTGGGCGACAAAATGAAAGATATCTTCCCTAACTCTTAGGTTACAGAGCGTGCACAAGAAAATTCCGTCGTCTTCCTTCCATGGCACAGAATTGAGGAACATTTGCTCGCATCTGAGTTTAAGAAGCCATCGAAGAGTCGGAAGTTTTATAGACTCACTATCTTGAACCTTTAGGTTAAAGGTTTCCTTAGAGTGGTCTAGGGTCTTCAAGAGAAGATACCTGTTGGAGACCTGAGCTCGATGCTCACAACTCACACGATGTTGATCACGTAGTCTGCACAAAAGTTTCATGGTATAATTGGGCCAATACGAGAGGTTTTACAGGGAAGATGTATTGAACATCTTTAGATCACAGTTACAACATGATTTAACTTTACCAAGTAAAGATGATCAATGTGCGGATGACGAAAGTTTTGGTTCGTCGAGACGAATTGAAAATGTAGGAGAGGAAAATGAACAACTGCACTATTCTTCCGCAAAATTTGCACAGCCAGATTTGTTCGAATACACTCCGTCCAAACCCTTGCTTGAGCAGAAGCGAAGAAGTTAAAACTCCGACGGAATAAAAATGGCTTTTGAATTTCTAGAAAAAGTAGGTGAGATTCCATCGAAGTATGTTATGAAATTTTTAAATAACGACCTTTCGGGTTTGGATGACGTTACGATGGAAAACAATTTTCGATAGGGGGCAGTATAGTCACTATGAGAGATATGAATGAATTAGAGATTGGTGAAGATCGCTATATCGCCACACCAGGCTTTATGGAGTTGATATTCATGAAAAAACCTAATATGACGATTGTGGATGATGACGATAGAAAAAATATAAAAATATTCTATCAAGTACAAACGCTCACAGAAAACGGTACAGTAGCAGCGGAGAGATAAATATCAAAAGAACGCATCCAAAGTGGGCATTAATTTCCTCTATTTTAAAGTAAGAACCTCATAAAACGAAACCGGAACCTTTTAAGAAGGCTCAAACCAAACGTGGTTTTGGGGCGATAAATTTCAACCACATGATAAAAAGATTAAAACAATTATTGTCCTCTCAAGACGAAAATAGTAAATCGGAAATTGAATTTATTGAAGCCAACCTTCCAGATGCTCGAATAATAGCATAAGACTAAGCATAATGTCGATATTGATCATTTCCTCCTTATTCTTCATACAATAAACATGTCTAAGATAAAACGGCAAATCGTAGAAGAATTTCATCGCTCCGCGAGAAAAAATTTTACAAGGCGTAAAGTAATACTGAAGGGGATAGACGATTTATGGCAAACAGATCTGATAGAGATGACACCTTATCAAAAACAAAATAAAGGTTTTAAATATATATTGGTAGTAATTGATTGTTTTTCAAAATATATATGGGCGTCTGAATTGAAAAGGAAAACAGGGGAAGAAATCAGTGAGGCGTTTAAAAAAATATTGCGATCTTCATAATTCAGTCTTTGACAGCTCTCCTCAATCAGATCAACAAATCTGAAACGGCAAATTGGCCGATTTACAGATAGGCATATTATATATCACAAAATTTGAAATTGTTAAGACGAAATTTGGCGATTGCGTAGTAGCTCATGTAAGTCATCATGGACCAAGTAGGCTATACAGCGAAAACCATCCACCGAAGGTATTTCTACCGAAACGTTGCGCCGAAGGAATGAGTAAAGAAATAATTGATGAATACGGTATGTCCGAAGAAAAAATATGTATGATTTACAAAAGAATTGTCAAAAAAAAGCATTGAGATTACCCGGTTCGAATTATCGCGGCAAGCGGATGTAGGCGGGGGAGGGTACGTAGGGGTGGAGGTGGGGACTTCCATGGGGACACCACCAGACCCGATGATTTAAATGACGGTGGTAAAACAGAACCAATCAGATCCCATGTTTTTAAATTTAGGCGGAAAAACACCGTGGGACACCATGGGAAGGAAAGTGGTGAGGGGTGCTGGTGGTATCCCTTATACTACTCACAGTTTATTACAAAAATATCGTATTATCATATTGCTTCCACGCAAATCTCACTTCGTCAACTTGCTTATCGATCATCGTCATGTCGCATACTTACACGCAGGACCGCTGTTATTACAATCCTTGATTAGGAGACGATTTTGGCTTTTGTCGGCCCGCCGTGTAATAAGGAGCCGTGTACATCTCTGCTTCAAGTGCCTTCGTCTACGAGCTGCCACGTTCATGCCGTTAATGGGGGACCTTCCTCGGTCGAGGTTCGAGCAGGGAAGACCGTTCCTTAACACGGGCGTTGACTTTGCTGGACCACTACGAATAAAAGAGTCGTTGAGGCGTAAGGCGGCAATTGGGAAGGCGTATGTGTGTCTTTTTGTTTGTTTCGGGACCAAAGCCGTACACGTAGAGATCGTGTCTCAACTGACCACTGAAGCGTTTTTAGCGTGCCTGGAGAGATTTATCGCTCGACGAGGATTTCCATCGAAAATCTTTTCGGGCAATGCCACTAATTTCGTCGGGGCCCAACGAGGGCTAAAGGAACTGTATCAATGGTGGAACAACGAACGACACCAAAGACGAATTGCCATTAGAATGGCTTCGCAAGGAACGGAGTGGAATTTTATACCGCCTTCAGCACCACACTTCGGTTGATTGGGGGAGGCGGGGGTGAAGTCCTTCAAATTCCATCTTACACGAGTTCTTGGCGAACAGGCGTTAACTTTTGAGGAGATCACCACCGTGGCAACTCGGATTGAAGCCGTATTGAACTCTTGACCTCTGACGCCTATGTCATCGGATCCTGAAGATTTTGACGTCCTTATTACCCCAGAGCACTTTCTAATAGGTGCCCCGCTATTAAATTTACCTGAGCCGGATTGGTATGAACGAGGCCTCCATCTGCGGAACCGATGGGACTTTCTCCGCAAATGTATCTCAGACTTGTGGGCTAGATGGAGATTGGACTACCTCACTGACTCCAAAATCGGTTAAAGTGGACGGACCATATCCCCAACCTCACTCCGGGAACTTTGGTACTCTTAAAGGAACCCAACGCACCCGTGTTATCCTGGCCAGTGGGAAGAGTA